AATGAAGAAAGAATGAAATTATTATGACATTTCCGCGTCTTTGCATTCCAACACGTTATTGTTTCGCTGCTCCCTTATATTTTCTTTTGACTGATTTCTTTATTGATGAAGATCTGTTTGCTACTAACCTAACAGTTCCATTTCTTCTCCAACCTTTAGAATTTTCAACATTAGTTGAAGGTGGCAGGTGTCGGAGGCGTTTTATTTCACGCCGAGAAAAACGATGATCACAATGGGGTTCGTTTTTTTTTAATTTTATCTCATTCTTTGAAGTAAATGAACTTTTAAAGCTATTCTTTCACCAATGCTTTCTTCTCATTTTTCTGAGAATCTTGTCTCTGGCTGAGAGACAGTCAGCTGCTTGTGCTTCCAAGATTTCAATTAGCCAATACTCTATCTCATATTCTTTTGTGTTAAATGTCTCTGCTCTCTGTTTAATTCAGTTGCTAGTTGAATTTTCAAAACATTTGTCAAATCGGTTTAGCAAATTTAGGATCATAACGCACCTCCTCCTGAACAGTGATTGATAATTGAGCCAGTTCTGATTGCATAGTTGTTAGCAAAATGGATCTGTAAAACAGTTGGAATTAAAACATCTACAATATGCAATTTCCTAGCATTTCAGGAAGTTTGCAGGACGGACAGCGATTATCACGGGAGCTTCCCGTGGTATTGGCAAAGAAATTGCTCTGAAGCTAGCCAAAGATGGTGCTAATATTGTTGTGGCTGCGAAAACTGCCGAGCCACATCCAAAACTGCCAGGAACAATTTATTCGACTGTGAAGGATGTCGAAAAGGTTACTTATCCTTTTGCAGCAGCTTATGAAATACAATAGGTGAGTTGACACTGACGCTAATGGCACGAGCTTCTGACTTTATTTATAATCTGACACTTGATTTCACACCGTGGAGAAACGTATAGCTGTTTAAAGCTCTTAAATTTTACTTACCTTTCTGTTTCGCGAGATGTTTTGTTCTTACAGTTTTTTGTTTGACTTACTACGATAATGAACTTTGATTATAGGCAGGTGGGAAGGGATTGGCATGTGTAGTTGACGTACGTGATGAGCAATCAGTAACAAGAGCGGTCTCAGAAGCCGTCGAAAAATTTGGTGGACTCGATATTCTAATTAATAATGCTAGCGCTATATCACTTACCGGGACATTAGAAACAACGATGAAAAAGTTTGATTTGATGCATCAGATTAACACACGTGGAACTTTCCTGATGTAAGCACACATATATAAACAGTCTGTCGGTGTATTGTACGACTTAATCCGGAGAAATCAGTTTTTTTAAATTTGAAATCAGACATCCTTGAAATATGACAGTAGTCCTTTTCAGGTCCCAAAAATGCATACCATTTTTAAAAAATGGCAAAAATCCTCACATTTTGAATATCAGTCCACCATTAAATATGGCCAAACAGTGGTTTGCTAATCACGTCGGTAAGCATTGACATCTGTTACTGATAATGAAGAACAGAGCCGGATAGAGAAAGGAGTAAATGAAAGAATTGATTGTTAATGAAAAGAATAGAATAGAGAAGGGAAGAGAGAAAAAAGTGATAATCACTTATCACCAGATTCTGCTCAAGCATGTCTGTATTTAGCCTATACAATGGCTAAGTATGGCATGTCAATGTGTGTTCTGGGAATGCACGAGGAATTACGGCCTTTCAATATTGCTGTGAACGCGTTGTGGCCAAGAACAGCTATTTGGACTGCTGCGATGGAAATGATTTCGTCTGGAACTGTGCAAAATGTTCGTCCTTCCATTTTTTTTTTTAAATAAATAAAATTGATAAGTTTTTTGCTTCGTATAAAACATAAATGAATCTTTGGTTGGAAAGAAATGGTAAGTGGAAAATCAAAATAATAAAAACCTGACATCCTCAGCACTGTTTGCACCAAGTTTGGACTAAAATGGAATCGTTTTCATCCAAGTTGGACTGAGAAGAGACCGAGTTTTATTCTAGGAATACAATCTTTTCATGAACTTCGAAATAATAGCTCCAATTATACTAGGATATTTTGCAGAGTTGCCGTAAGCCAACAATTATGGCAGATGCTGCATATGCATTACTTTCTCGTGATAGCACCTATTATACCGGAAATTTTGTCACTGATGAAGAAATTTTACGGGAAGAAGGAATACAGGATTTCGATCAGTATTCCTTTGATCCAGGTAATATTTTATAGAAATTACATTACTGAAAATTCCGAAAATTCATCTAACAAATGTTTCGACTATTCTTCATCCATAATCTTAATTTCTGGTATAATATTTGACAGCAAATCTCCAGCTTTAATTTTCAAAATAAATCTCAAGTTTTGGAGATTTCTGTATCCAGGAGCAACATTATTGGAAGACTTTTTTCTTCCTGAGATTGCGGAAACAACAGACTCTAAAACAACCACTTCAATTTTGTTCCTGGATGTAATGATAAATGAGACCAAACAACGCATCACTCCGGATATGGTGCAGGAAATTCAAGCTATCTACCAATTTGATGTGATGGAAGGTGAACAGTTCGAAAATATTTCCTAAAATTATTGACTGTCTTTTCTATATGGCATTCGATGTGATATTCCTAAAATTTCTATAGATTTTAAAATTACCAACTGCTATCTAATCTATCTTTTTAAAACATCTGTGGGATGCTTTTGGTACGCGATAGTACTTCGCAAATCGGGTTTTAACATAATAAGAAGGTACAACTGAAACTTGGATTCATTGAAGTTCATTGAATAAAGCTCTGCTTCAATGTAGTCAGCATTTTCTTCTAGAATCTATCATTCATTGTGCGCTGTTTCTTTCCAGGTGAGAAAATTCATAGCATATATTTCAATCTGAAGAATGGACAAGGTGGAGTCTATAAATCGTCAAATAATACCGAACATGTGGATGTACATTTTATAACAGATCTGCAAACATCGTGCAAACTATTCAGTGGCGAAATGTCACCAACAACAGCAGTCGCACTTGGCAAGTTCAAAATTGAAGGGAACAAGGAAAAAGCTTTGTTATTTTCACAACTTTTTAAACCGTCAAATAAGAGCAAACTCTAAATGCAACATTCCAATAAACAAATTATATTGAAGAATCAAAAAATTATGAAGTCCCAAATTCCTGCAAGCTGGTTTAATTTCACTTTAAAAATTAAAACTTGAATTCAGAACTCAATTGAGAAAGTTCAAATAATCAAATAAACAAATAAACAAGTAAGGAGCATAAAATATAAAACGCCATCAAGATTGAAGAATGCTATTTGGCCCGACATGATACCGTAACTGTATGCATATGTAAGGAGCTACTGTCAACTCTACGCCTAATGGACATACTGATAAAACATGAACATATAATTCGAAGTTTCGAAAAATTTCGTATTCATAAAAAAATAATTGACTGATGGTAAAGCTGAGTCAATATAAAATAGAGAGCAACAGTTAACTGCTTATTAACGTGCTTCCGATGGAAAGTTGAGAGATATTTTGAAAATATAGATCTTAGGTATTGTAATATGACATGTACAGGTTTTTTTTGCATAAGGAAATATAGGAAATATTTGATACTTTTTTGGAAGTTTCTAATTACTGATCAGCAGAAGCTAACAATGTGTGAAACACTTACCTGATTACTTAAAAGGTTTATATCCGACAAAACATCGACGGTATCGATTACCAATCCAAATTTAATCCTATTCAATTAATTACATGGTGCTGTTGTATCAGTTTTAATATGATTTCCATTTCCTTTTCTCCTTATTTACTACGCATCATATTAGCTCCTACTTCAACATCAGTTGAATTCATTGGGAGATAATAGCCGTAGTGGCCAAAAACTTTCAATTTAAAGCTTTGAACTTTTTGGACAACATCGTCAACATCTGTATTCTTGGCAGTTACTGCATTATCCTTTTCAGCAGTCTGATCATTAAATAGTTCGGCTTCTAATGACTCATCTAAACTAAATATCTCATCAGTTAAGTCATCAGCATCAACATTCAAATCTTTTTGTTCTTCATTTGCATCAACGGAAACAAATCTCTTTGACCTTTTTGCAGCCGTGGTGACGCTTGATCTACTGCCAAAACTGTGTTTTCCTCCACTAATTTCCGGCCATCCATCCAATGTACCATCCAGAAAATTAAACGATTCGTAATTCTTTATGCAAAATTCTGAAAAAAAAAGCTTAACTGAATTCCTTAACCAAATCAAAATCCCTACCTAATAATTCCCTCCTTCAATGTCATTGACATAACTTCTAAAAGTGATCGCATGAAACCTCCGTATTAAAAATCAAAAATATGCAAAATAATTAGTAAGTGTAACAAAATACTACCAAGATCTCTTAGCTGGAGGGTTTTTCGTTTGTTAAAAATCGCCTGCCCATAAGCTGCTTTTGCTAACAATCCAGTGAAACGTTCCTGCAATTTCCATAAAAATACATTCGAGACTTACAACAAAAGGGAATGATGAGTCATTATTTTCAAGAAAAAATAATAGACCGCAGCAAGGGTGAGAAGTTGCACGGCCTCAGTTGAAATTGTCGTACAGTTCGAATCAAGTCTGAATATTTTCCTGACGCGTGTGACGGGTAATCGCGCCTGCAGAGCGTGGGTTGCTGAACTAGCGGAATCTTCCATTTTCTACATTAAACACAATTCGACTAATTATTTAAATAACATCTTATTAATAAAACTGAAGAGTGCAAAGACTTGGCGCAACCTTTGAATGACATGAAAATTTTCGTGTAACCGAATTATTCTAGCAAAGAAGAAGGAGAGAAGGGATTCATTCTAAACAGAATGAGAAAAAGTGCCAGTTTGCAGCAGTTGTGCAAGAAATGATAATGACGAGAAGTCGGTAATAGAGTGGACAGAATGACGAGACAGCTGTTTCGATATTAGAGTATCTTATCAATGAGACCATTAATACGACCATATATTCTGTAGCAAAGTCTTTCAGAATTAGTTAGTGAATTATCCTGCTCTCCGTTCTAATGGCCCTCCGAGAAGAGCACCAAATGACTACCTTGTCATTTTAGCAATTCACTGTTTTCAAATCAACCGATAACTTACAAAACGGAACCGACAGTTCCGGTAGCTTACTTCCTGTTCCCTACAATTTTAAGGCGATAATTAATCACACATAAACGGTCCTACTTATAAGCCAGTTAACCCAATGCAGGAACGGAACTCCCTCCCCGCTCCCTTACGAACAAATAATTCCCGCCTCATTTTCCTTTCTGCTTGGGAATGTTGCAGCCAAAAATTCTGGCAACAATTAATCTGCCAGTTTGTGTGTTGGTGTGTTTGTTGGTGCCACTTCGTCCCGTAACTTCTCGAGGTCATCCGGGACCCTTCTCTGCTTCTGGTACATCCGTCCTTGAATGTTCGGTATGATGCAACTGACTGTTAATTGGCTTCACTCTCATTTCTTGAATCCTGCACTTGTTTAGTCTCGGCTTCTGGTATTCTGATTGATTTGTAATGAAGTTCTTCTGTTCTACTTTGCGATTCTCATATTTTAACTTATTTCCTGGTTCAATTTATTTTAAATGGAGAGGGAATAGTTTGATGAGGTAATTTATTCGTTGCTGTGAATCACCGTTTTTTTTATTCAACGAATAAAAGCGCTTACTGTTATTGAAATAGTTTGCTAATCTTATGAACCCAACTCGAAAACAAATCAATCGGCTAATTTTTTTTGATGGGTGGGACCATTTCGGATAAAGAATGCTTCGACTTCAGCAATTAATGACATAGAATTAATTAAATAATTCCATTAACACTAAACATTTGTTCTCAATGATCTTTGAATTAAAAAAGTGCGCTGTAATGAAATATAATAAGACTTCTTCGGTTTATCCATTAACAACAGCTATGTATAAATACAAAGTTATCATTTAACTAATTCATTTATTTAAATGACTATTTTAGCAGTTTCAAACAAAATCATGTAAATTTTTTTCCTTTAAGTACATCTGTTAATAAAGCACCTTAAATGAAAGCTTAAAATGATTTCCGTTATAATTTGGATCGTCTCAGTCGCTGACCGGAAATTTCTTCCCCACTGTCTCCCTGTACTTTAGTCCTGAAACTACATAAATACGAAGTTACAAAAGCGATGATGGCATGACTGAAGCGAATACAATGACTGTGATATCGTCGTTTTGGCAAATGTTGATATCTATAGCGGTGGTGCCAATTATTATATCTGGGATAATTGTTACATTATCTGTGACAATTGTGATATTTTTCGGGATCTCTGAAAATTTCTTTCAGTTAATTTAATGGTTAATTGTTCAGTGGGATGAATATAAGAATGGCGCATTTGTTCAGTCGATGTACAACACGGTCTTTTCTTGGTTTACGGTATTATCAAACATCGCTTCTACCTGACGGTGCAAAGGCTTTCATCAACGGTATTATTCTCTTCATACTTTTTTTTTCTCCTAATATTTAATGCATTATGCTTCTTCCTTTGAAAATATCTTCACACCAAGTCACTTTGAGAAAAAAATAAAATTTGAAATATTTTCCACATTAAAATACTGTACTTCGATCAGATCAAGGTGTTTTGTTTAATTATCCTGATAATATTTTGATAACAAGCAGATGGAAATAGTCAGAAAGTACCAAATTTGAATAATATCGAGAATTGCCGCTCTTTAATTAAATGAAACAGAAGTATTCCGAGAATTAATGACCAATAATTTCTTTATAGGTCAATGGACTAATGCATTATTAAGCGCCACGTTTCAAGTATCAAATCCGTATAATAATGAAATCATATGCCAATGCACCAATTGCGATGTACTCGATGCTGAAAAAGCAAGTCATATACCAGTTGGATAAAATTTACGGATTTAAAGTTAAATTTAGTGATAGAATTCGCAACAAAGCAATGACTGTAATAAAACTTTAAAATTGAAGTCTGTGAAAGCGGCACGAGAAGCCTACGGTGCATGGTCATTATCCACAACCGCTAAGGAACGTGGTGGAATACTAGAAAACTGGCACTACAAAATGTTGGAAAAGCAGAATGAGTTGGCCGAATTGATTACTCTTGAAGAAGTATCATTGTTGATTTTTAAGAAGTATTATTCAATTCTTACACTTCTTAAATTTATGTATATATTTTTTTTCTCGAGAAATTATTCTCTCCTGATTGAAGAAGAAAATGCTCTGAATTGACATTTTTAGGGTAAACCACTAGAAGAAGCACGCAGTGAAATTGTTTATTCAGCATCGTTTTTGAAATGGTTTGGCGAAGAAGCTCGACGGATATATGGACAGATCGTTAAGCCTACATCGACACATCGAATGCATTTGCATACTCGTGAACCGATTGGTATCGTTGGAATTATTACACCTGTAAGCATTTCATTAATTTTTTCTTTTAGGTTTGGTTAAACTTTCACCAAGAAAGCTTAATCTTGCTGATTGAACTTTTCTCACTTATTGAATTAGACCAACAGGAATCCTGATTGGCATGCTGATTGTCTAATTAAAAAATGTCATTCGGTCGCTTAAACCTCATTTGCTTATATGTAACTGTAGTGGAACTTCCCGTCGGCAATGATAACTCGAAAAGCAGCAGCAGCGTTAGCGATTGGTTGCACGGTGGTTGTGAAGCCTGCCGAAGACACACCACTTTCAGCGCTAGCTCTTGCACAGGTTATTCTTTTACTTTTTTTCCCCTCTAGTTTTTTGTGTTTCATATTCGTTGCTTTGTTGCTAAAGTTAAAAAATGTTACAGTTAAGAGAGTGATAATGGTTGATCGAAAGTTATAATCACGATTATGTTTTAGATAGGTTTATAAGATTGATTCCTTTTTTTTTCACATTTTAGTTTTGTCTACCTAATAATCAGCTTTAAAGCCAAGATCCTTACACAAACGACACAATATATTGTAGGTTTTAGACAGCTAAGGAAGCTGGTCTTCCAGACGGTGTCTTCAATGTTATCCCAGCCGATTTAAAAAATACGATGCGAATATCAAAATTCTTATGTGAATCGACCGACATCGATGCAATTTCATTTACGGGAAGCACTGAAGTAGGAAAAGTGAGCTATCTTCTTCGTCACTTTCAATTCATTTTGATCGACTAACTTAGATATTTTTTCATTCAGATTATTACAAGTTTCAATGTAGCTATTTGTTACATTGAAACTTGTTCTAAAGTAATATAAGCGTCATTTGATTAGTACTTATAACAGCGTCACAAATGCTTATAAAAGCTTCATATAATCGCTTATTCCTGTATCACGACCACACTCATTGAGCATTACCCTTTTGCAGCTTTTGCTTTCACAGTCGGCTACCACGGTGAAACGAGTGTGTCTGGAATTAGGTGGTAACGCACCGTTTATCGTATTCCCTTCTGCTCATCTCTCAACAGCAGTTCAGGTTTCTTTCTGTTTATTCATAATTTACGAAAAGTTTTATTGGACTGAGAAAAGCTATTCTAGAAGATAAAATTATGTTGCTTTTCATTACTTCTCCGCTGATCAATGTAATAATAATTTTTTTCTTTCGCTACTGCATGTCATTATTTTGAAAAAGTTAGAATGAAATTATTTTTTGCTAACAGTTCTCGTTTAATTTTAACGTAACATAATTTTGATAGAAAAATATAAGCGAAGCGATATGAACATAAGCAGGATTCCAAATTTTAAACTTTCAGGGAACGATGACGTCAAAATTTCGAGGTTCAGGGCAGACTTGTATATCTCCAAATCGTTTTTATGTACATTCTTCGATTTATAATTCATATGTTGAAAAAATTAAGCATGCGATGGCGAAATTGGTTACTGGAGATGGTATGCAACCGAATGTTACTCAAGGACCTCTCATAAATGAAAAGGCTATACAAAAAGTAATATTATGAAGTGATTGATTTTGGTAGTAAAATTTTCTGTCGAAAAGAAAGAAAGGCATCTTACAAAAGCATACAAGAAGATGAATAAAAAACTTCCTTCTCGGTTTATCAATTATTATTAATATAATTTGCAGGTCGAAAAACTCTTATCGAATGCCATTCAAAAAGGAGCACGTGTATTGCTGGGTGGGAAGCGTATTCCTCGAAGCACCTGTTTCAAACCAACGTTGCTGACCAACGTAACCAGTGATATGGATATTGCCCGTACCGAAATATTTGGTCCTGTTCTTGCTATCCAAAAGTTAGATAATTTCTCAAAGTTTTAATAACTTAATTCTAACCCCATTTGCATCCAAAGATCAGTGGCGGTATGTTGATGTCTAAGACAATATTTCCATCTTAGGTTCGAAACGGAAGACGAGGTTTTGGCACTCGCAAACGGCTGCAGAACTGGCTTAGCTGGTTACATCTTATAGTTTTTTTTCTTTTTTTGCAGTTAAACACTAATCTTTTTTAAGAATGAGAGCAACTTTTCTATTATTTTTTGGGATTTTTGATGTTTTGATCTCCCTTGCTGAATCGATTATTTCCGCTTCACTTAGAGACAGAACAAGAAATATTCTAATCTCTTATCTTTTACAACCATCTGTTGGTATTTTTGGGATTAAATAATAGCTTTTGGAAAATTTCCGGTGACAACTTCCCCATTATTTATAAATATATTTTGTTGATTTTTTATAGAAATAAACTTGAAGGTTATATATTCACGACGGACTATGCTCAGATATTGCGTGTTAGTCGCAATTTAGAGGTTGGAATTATCGGTGTCAATGAAGGTATGCTAATTAATTAGTACTTCGAGTTTTCTCTTTAGTGCGATCTTTATCATAGCATGTTCCACTGCACTATGCATGCCTTACACGTGGATTCGACCCCTAGATTTAGAAATTTCATGCTTTTCCACATTCTAATTTGCTGAAGTTCATTTCAGGACTAGTATCGTGCGCGGAAGCAGCTTTCGGTGGAATGAAGGAAAGCGGTTTGGGTCGTGAAGGCGGCTCACAAGGTATAGATGAATTCTCGCAATGGAAATATGTCTGCATCGGATTTTAGTCTCTATGATGCCGTCACATTCTTCGACAAGAAATCAAGAAATTCTGGTGGACAAATTGTTTCTCGATTTTTGAAATTGCATCACTGGCATTATCTTCGACTCATAGTAAGAATAACAGTGTCACTGCGTTAAAGTAAAGATAACTGACAGCAATGCAACAATGTTGCATATTCTCGTTAAGTGGCATTATTATTCTTCAATGGACATCATCCGTTTATATTCAAAGTGAGTAAATCATTGTTCGTACCGAAGTTTGTATTATACAAACTTCTATACAAAAGTATTATACAAAATCAAGTCCTAATACAAACTTTTAAGAAATTTGTATTATGACTTGATTTGAATTATAAAGTTTTCCAAATTTTATGCTTGTGATTTGCATGGGGAAACAGCACACATATCTTCTCGTGAAGGAATCATAAAGGAATCATCTGAAATTTTGTTATAAGGTTTGTTTATGATGCTTGCTTTGAAAATTCCAGTATAATGTGAAAATGGCTTGATTCTATGCATCCGGATTTTACATTACATATATATAATATATGGCAATAACAACGCATATATCGCGAAAATCAGGAGATTTCATTTTTATTTTTGAGGCACAAAAAATAAAAGGAGAAAGAAAAGGACAATATGTACGGCAATGACATAATCTACATAGATATAAAGCTTTGATATCAGAAGTAATATCTCTGATTTCTGTTTGCTTTATTTCATTTCATTTTAGCATCAATTAACAAGGACTTTTCCACCTGCTTAGAAAAGCATCCAGTCACCAAAGCCATCCAAAACGAGTGAAGGACTATACCTTTCCATATAGATTCCAAAAAATCAATGAGTCATGAAATTAGAAGAAATAATTATTGATGGGATTGGAACTCTCTTGAGATTTCTTATTATAATCAATACTATTTCAAAGATGACAACCGCTAAGTGATACCAATTAGAAGGATTTCTAAAGCCGTAAAAAGAAAAATGTTTTGCCCCACAAAAGCTGGACACTTAAAATAATGATTTGAAGGTTAGCGCTGTGTCTTCCAAGAAGTTATGTGGGTTTTTATTTTTTCATAAATTTGGAGAATTTGTTTCAAAATGAATATTTTACGGTCAAACGTTAGTGGATTTTTAAAAGAATATAAAAGAATATTTAAAAAGATATAAATTTAAAAGAGACAGAGATTTACGGGGAGTATTCAGAAGCTGAAATGTTTGATGCGCGAATAAATAATTGATGAGAATGAGAAAGTGGAAGTGAGATTAGAAATGCTGAATTTAAATGCCGGAGGCATGTTTAACTCGAAGTTGAAATAGAATGTTAGAATTATTGAAATCGGTCAAGATCCTCCTTCTGCATGCATATTGTCAGTTGCTTTTGGTTCATAGAAATGGTGCCCTCCAAGGATACGGTGGAATTCGAAATGTTCTGTTGAAGAATGATTTTTAGCGATCGATTTAATCAATTCAATAGCTGGGCATAGTTTCAGTTTCGGCACAAAATCCTGCAAATCAGAAATTAATTGCCAAAAGTTTTTATAAAAAATGAGAATTTTAAGATGAAGTAGCATATAAAAACAAGTAAGCAAAATCCTAACTGACGCAAGAATATCTCTTCATACATAGTTTTCGGCATATTTCCTTTTAAAAATTAAATAAATTTGGTGAGAAATCTTTTTCATTTAATAAGCTTACAGTGTTATATTGGGATTCTATTTTCATTTGATTGTTTTGCCAAAGCGTTAATTCTTTCAATTTAGTCGATGTCATCTGAACTTCCTTCGCGGATCTTTTTGGCATTTTGAACGATGTGCGATAGATGCTTTGGCCTTCAAGATAACCTATAAATCAAATGCTTGATGTTGATTAATAAGTTCACTAATTTTTTAAAAGAAAGATAAAGAACCTCACTCACTCAGCACATAATTCATAAAATCTAGCGATAGAAACTATATCATATCATTAGAAAAAAATTCTCCTTAGTGAACTTACTTTCAGGGAGTTTGAATTTTTCAGCCTCGTGTTGAATAACGCGTCGAACATCCTCTGCTGGTACTCCTTCATAAAATGTTTCCGTATATGCTGTCCTCCATTTTTCTGTACATGTTCCACTCTGTTCCGCCATATCATATGTCGCTTTTAAATTTTTCGTACACGCTAGGCTGCATCCTTTTTTCCTTATTTCCACGAAAGATTCATCTTGTTTTTGCTGTTCCTGATATGAAATACTAGAAATCACAGATGTAAAATAGTCCTATAGTATGCTTCTACCAACATCTAGTAAGAGTAAGTAAAATGTTCGTGGTTCAATACTCACCAATATATAAAGGTAAGAAGAAATGAAGCTTTGATTACTAACCTTCCAAATATCCGAACTGCTAGGTTTAATAGTTTCAAATTTATCTCCTTTCTTGGCGATGAATTCAATTTGCGAATGTGTTTCGGCCCGGAATGAACCATCACTAAACAAAACATCTGTATCGCATGATTTTTTGACAGCATATCGTTCCCCTTTTTTAGGGCTGAAATCCCGCCGACTGACACTCTTCGTTTCTAATTCTCCATCATGCTGCAAACAAATTAAGATTTGATTAATAACAAGGAAATTTTCGAAAGCTATCTTTATCTACAAGGTATTATCGTTCG